GCTCTCAGATTTTGCCAATGTAGTTTTGGACAAACAGGCTGTTTACAGATTTCTGCTCTGGGTCTAAAAGCTGCTAATTAAAAAAGGAATTACACATAACCTTCAAAGTTAGTTACAGGAACAGCCTGAGCTACTGAACACACACTACTCTCAGTTTCAAAAAATCCCCCTTTTTTGGAATGCTCTCAAAGCAGGTTTAAATTGCTGCTGCTAACATGGATAAATTGCAAGCAGGCAGACAAAATGAGGTTGGGTTATCAATTTTTTAGGAAGTAATTAAATAGTTACAAGAAAGTAATTTCATATTCTTCCTGTCTGTTATATTGTCTGACTTGAATTACTTCATTATTCACTAACCAAGTGCATAACAAAGGATGCATTGAAACAGTAGAGACCAAGAGAGAACAAGCTTCATTCATTTGTGTAATTCTAGGGAAATTCTGTTCCAGCTAAACAGGATAATGCTCTTTAAGATGTTTTTGTGGAAATATTCACACAAGTGCTTCATTTTGTTATTCTACTTATTCCCCTGGTCCTGCTTTTCTGCCAAAGATTTTTGTTCTGTATAAATTCTCATTTGTAAAACTACCTCACACTCATTTGTCACTCAAAGGAATTCATTTCATCTGACTCCTTTTTAAAATCTTCTTTGACCTTTTTTACCTTCTCTTTTGAATTTTCTCTAATAAAATAAAAACCTTTTTTTCCCCACTGTTTGGAATCTCCTTTACTTTAGCTGCAGTCTGCAAACAGTGAAGCTGCAGAAAACTGTTATGAGGAAACAGAAATTAGAAGAACAAAACAAGACCAGAAATACTATCGTCCAGAAATATTATCAATCAAAACTCAACTTGTTCATTCCTGTAAATGGGATTTCTGAAGACTCCTGATCAGATTTTTACTACTTCTAAATACACACACAAGTTTGTTGTGAAACTGTTAAGACTGCTACACAGAACATCTGACACAAAACCACAGATGCAAAAAAATTAAAAATGTAAGGAACGTGTCATACACCACAGACCACACACCACCTTAACTCTGTCCCTCAACCTTCCTTTCCACACACATCCCTTTACTAGACTAGTCCCTCCCAGCAATTCATGTGTTAGCTAGCATGTTGTAAAACTGTAATTTTAACAACGCAAACTGTTTAACAACGCAAACCTTTGCACATGCTAGCTGGCTGAGTTGAAGCCTGATTGGAGTCTCAGTTTCAACTTGACCACCTAGTACAAGGGTGGCCAAGCTTACTGACTCTCTGAGGTGCATACGACAATCTTCAGAAGTTCGAGAGCCAGGGCGCACCTGCTGGGGCTTGGAGCTTCAGCCCCAACAGGAGGTGCCTGCCAAGGCTCGGGGCTTCAGCCTCGCTCCTGCTGAAACCCCAAGCCCTGGCAGGCGCACCCTGCGTGGTTGAAGGCCCTATCCCACCACCCCACTGCCAGGCAGAAGTCCCAAGCACCCTCCCAGTCTGATAGGTGGAGAGTCGGTAGGTATGGGGAGCTCTGTGTGCCACACTTTAACTGTAAAAGAGCCACATGCGGCTCATGAGCCACAGTTTGGCCACCCCTGACCTAGTACAGCTTGCCTTGTTTATACTAGAACTTTACAACATGCTTACATGAAGTTAAAAAAAAAAAAAAAAAAAACTACTCAAGATAACCTCTTAGTTGTGGGATGTTTGGTGCACTAATTTAGTGTTCTGGGGTGGAGGTAGTTTGCCAGTAGTTGCTCCATGGAGCATTTGCTGGTGGTCTCTGGAGAGCTGGCCGTCACTGGTGTTGGCATCATCCTTATTTCCAGCCAGTGAATAGCAATAGAAGACAACCCAAAACACATTTAATGTTTTTCCATGTAGGCAATTGATGTAGCTGCCACAGGGATATTGTCTGACTATAGAGTGAGAAGAGGGATGACCCACACAATTAAAAACAGATCCACAATCATATCTCTGTACTAAACGTGGACCCTGCCATTCAAATTGTTTGAGAACCCTTGCTATAGGAATCTCTTTGGAAAGGGAATTCTGCTCAAGAGACAAAAGGACAAGAAATTACCTTCTGCATATACAAATACTGACAGAAAATAATAGGTCATGAGCTGAACATAAAGTTATGGGGGGGTACCTTGAAATTCTACACTCTACAATCAACTGACACGAGAACTAAACTCTTTAAACTACATCCATTTAAATAAAAGCCTCAGATTGATTCAGATATTGAACTGATATCTTACTTATGCATTTTTTCTTTATACTAGGTTCCTCGGAAATTAAAAAGGTGTAGCTATTACCTCACCACCACCACCACCACTTAGAATAATTGCCACAACCATCCTTAGGCACAGAGTAATCTGACCATTATTTAAGAACCATCACGATTAAATAGAATTTCTGCCCTCTGCCCTCCCCACCCCATTAAAAAAAAAAAAAAGTTAAGTCTCCATTTTTAGTTTTAAAGAAGTTGCACTCAGTCTTGTTTTGTGATACGGAAAGGTACTTAGTAACGTCACTATAACTCTGGCTGTCTAAATGTTTAGAGTTATTGCAAGCTATTGATTGTTTTAGTCATTTTAAAAGTATGCCTTGCTTTTTTATTACTTGTTTTTTCAGTCTCAGGATGCAGCTATACTAGATGTTTGTACTGTTGCAACCATACAATTACTATGGGAAAGCTGCAACATTGCACAGCATCCACACATTTTGTTTCACGTGCATGCAGTGAAGAGTGGTCCAGAAGAAAGGCATCCCTCTTTGTGGCCTAGCTAATTTCCCCATCTCCCTTCCTCTACCTATTGCAGTAGGGACTACAGGGGATAGTGAAACAGATCACACTGTGGGTGACAGTACTATGCAGAAAGACATGGCTTTACTTGAGAGGATGGAGTAAGAAGAGGATGGCCTTGATGCTTACATGTTTAAAATCAACCCTCCTCTACTTTCTCTTTTTCAGAGCTCAGGAGAGTGGGAGATGCTAGTGACGCAGTGAATGGACACATGGCAACCCTTAGTGAAGAAAGTATCAAAGGGGTAGCCGTGTTAGTCTGGATCTGTAAAAGCAGCAAAGAGTCCTGTGGCATCTTATAGACTAACAGACATATTGGAGCATGAGCTTTCATGGGTGAATACCCACTTCTTCGGATGCATTTAGTAAACACTACATGCATCCGAAGAAGTGGGTATTCACCCATGAAAGCTCATGCTCCAATACGTCTGTTAGTCTATAAGGTGCCACAGGACTCTATGCTGCTTTTGGTGAAGAAAGAGCATGCAGGTACGCTTGCATTCCCCAGTGTATGTCCACATGTTGTACTAACCAGCCATTGATTGTGTCTTTTCAGGGTTTCCCTGATCTGGTGCCAATTTCATGTTAAAAAAGTTAGGATTCTATTTAAAAACTGTATTTCCCATTATACCGCAGTGTTTCTCTCAGTCAAACTGGCGTTTAGAGAGTCAGTTGGGAGTCAGAGCTCCTGTTGCTCTTGAGACTGCCCTGAACAGGTGTATTGGGAGACCAGACTGAATTGTGGCCACCCTCATCCTGCATGCAGCTAGTTTCATGAGAGACATGAACAAGGACTCTGACATGTTCATGCTGTCACAAAAGGGTGGGCCGGGGCATTCCAGAATTGCACTGGGAGAACCAACTGCATCAGTGCAGTTGTTAGGCCACTGCTTGGCATCTACACTAGCACTACTGTGTAGAGTGATACAGTGGCAGACAACATTGTTATTAGCCTTGTTGAAGGGGCCACCACAGGACAGATAATACAGGTTCTGGGAAGAAAAGGTGTGCATCATGCTGACCTGCCACCACCCAACAGCAAGAGCACTAAGTATTTCTATAGTCCTTCACCTTTAACCTGCTTTATAACCAAATTTCAACATCTACACGAGGAAGGTGAATATCCCTATTTAATGAAGACAGCATTTGTCTCAATAAGAGCATATCAAGCAAGTTTAACTTTGACAGCTTTTAAGTGTTTAGAATGTTAAGTTATATCAAGATATAGCAACTTCACCTCCAAGCCAACATTCCTCCTCTTTACACCTTTAAGCATTGTCATCCATATGTATGCAAGTACCACCTCTTAGGACACTCTCCCTAGCTCATATAGTCAGCAGATTATGAAACTACACATAGTTTGTGGAGGTGCTGGGGGTACGGTCAAGGGGGTACAGCAAGATAACACAATACAGCAGAAGACTATCAAATAAAGTGGACCATTTCAAGCAATTAACTGATAAAGTCAATGAAGGGAGGTACACATGAATTACACTACTGGGATTATGCTCCACTTCCTTCTTAGAACAGAACAAAAAGTCACATCAAATTGGCATACTAAGCCCTCAAACACTGCAATATTTTTATAGTAAATCACATACACCAGTTCATTTTGCAACAGCACACAGTTCCAGGACAGTGACAGTTTCAGAGCAGAGCTATGGAAGGTATAAAAAGTGGAACTTCTTGGAAGAACAGTACCAAACTTACAGAAGTGTGGAATGACAGTTTTTTAAAATTATTTTCTCATCTCACACAATTCTTGCATTCAGGAACAAATGAGACACTGTCAGGTCAAATCTGAACCAAATTTTAGGTTTTGCAAAATAAGCTTTGACGAAACCTAATACCATTAGAAAAGTTTCTAATGGAAAGTTCCCCCATCCAGTGCAAATATTTTCCACCAGAGTTTGCACTATACTAATGTATGAATGAAATCAGCCAGGCAACTGACTAGTCTATTTTCATTGTTCAAGCCAAGAAAAGTAAAAGAGCAAAACTTTTAAACAGTAAGAAGTGATATTTTTAAATTTCTTTCAGTTTTAAGGTACAGTGCCACTAGTAACATAGGTAAAGAAATAGGTTCCTGTTGAAATTATGTTTAACTTTGCTATTTCTCTCTAAAAAGAACAGTATTGAACATTCACATAAGGTTTCTATTGTTAACACAGTACTTAAAGTTTTATACAAAACAGTACATAGTCTTACCTGTAGCGAACATGAAAGGAATGATCTTCACGCATGCTTATCAAAACATTACTTTCCTCCATTGAATTGCATTATCAGTAGAGAAAAGTGTTCTGCAGGCAGGACAAGTACCTTAATACGGAGAATTGTTGTCAGCACATTATCCCAGTTAGTATATTAACAAGTTAGAGTTAATACATCCTAAGCTCCTGCTGAAATACTCTTCTTTATTAATAAGGAAAAGAAATCAGTGCTAAACACAGCTTAATTTTCCATAAACGTGTCCCAAGTTCTTGCGTCTGTGGCCCTTTCAGTTCCATTCAGCTGCATTTCTGCGAAGGGAACAAAAGATGCTTGCCTTGAAGTCTCATTTTCAAAGAACTCATAACCACCTTGGGCTGATGCAAAACGCAAAGCTATCCCTGCTGAGTGCTAAATCTTATCAATCATTTAAAGTGAGAGAAGCAAAGTGTTTCACTGTGACCATGGGAATTTTTGTATGCAGGCAGCTGAAAAAAAAAAAGGTTCAACAGAAAGCAGTACTCTGTGTTCAGCTAGATTTTGAATCAGCTATCATTATGTTGCTAGTCTTTTGTCCTGGGTACAATTCCAAGTGACAAGCTTAAAGGATAAATATGCATGAGTTTGGTTTTAATATAGCATCTTTCATGTTTATATGTAAATCATGTTAACATGCACTTGTGAATTACACGGCTATGCATTCCAGCAAGAGATTTTAGAGATGTCAATACATGACAGCAAAACTCAAGCACTCTATACAGTCACCAGAACACCAAGAGGAAATTCTGAAGCTCTAATTCAATCCACCTTTATTTAATTCATAGATTTAGTCTTGGACCCACATTTTCCACACAGCATCCTTCCATCTCTCCACATACACCTCTCCCCTCCAAATTTTTTCTTATTTCTGCTTCCAGCATCAACCACTTCCATAACTTATAATTCCAACATAATGCTCCCATTTGCCTCCAATAGTGCTTTTTCCCCTACCCAGTCCTGCCAAGACTTCCTCTCTGGCCAGCACTCCATAACCAATTTATCAGCCCTCTTCCAGTAAGACAGTTCTTTCACCCCTTCCATGCAGGTGTTACAACTGCCTCAGTCGCAATAAGTGGGTGTGAATTTTTTTTTTTTAATAATAATAATTCAAGGGAGGAACACATACATTTCAAAATTCAATTGAGTCTTCATGGATTGGGAAGGATTTATGTTACAATCTACATAATAGAAGTGCCAAACAAGCCCTGCCCCACTAATGCAACAATATGATTAAAGATTTTGAATGCACAGGAATGAGGGAGTTATAGCTTCCATGGAAGTGGTAACGGAACCTTTTCAACCTACACATTGTATACACACTATGCTTTTGTATAATGGCATAAAAATTAATATGATAAACAACGTTACAAACAATGCACAAGGGGTCAATTTATAGTTCCTGTGATTTCCCACAACTTTAAATTATCCAATTTTTACATTTATGTCTGAATCATAGCATTTTGTGTTCTGAAGCTCTGAAAAAGAGAGAAGTAAACTAGAAATCAGTGCATTTTTGAACATACATCAATGATCACATATTCAAATAAACAATTTTTTGTTCATAATGCAGTCCAAATGTATAAAGGAAAAACATGAGAACCCCTAGACACTCAAAGGATATGTCTGCACTGCACACGAAGCACAGGTCTACAGGACCGGGGCTTGTGGACTCTGTGTTTCCAAGCCCATGCTTGAGCATCTACACTGCATTATAAATCTTGGTTTACAATTACTGGACCCAGGTCTCAAACCTTCTGACGCGGGTTTGTGGCTTGACCTGCATCCATACTGCAAAATAACAGGGTTTGGACCAGAGTCTCAGCAGGACTTGGGCTCTGACCTCCCCCGCCCCCGGCAGGGTGCTAGGACCTGGGCCCTGAATGCTTGCTGACCCAAGTTAGACTGATTTGTGTGTGGATGGAAGGGGGGCTTGGGTTCAAACCTTGAGCCAGAGCCCAGGCTTAGTGTGCAGTGTAAATGTACCCTTATATACTCATATGGGTTTAGATTTTCTAAGATGATTTAGAGAATTTGGCATTTGTTGCAATGGGAGAAATTTCATTTTTGGGTGCGTCTACACAGAACAAAATAAAAAATAAAGTGGAAGCGAGTTTTAGAGCCTAGGTCAACTGACTCAGATTCATGGTGCAAGCTAAAAATAGCAGTGTAGACATTCAGTCTCAGGGTACGTCTACACTACCCGCCGGATTGGCAGGTAGTGATCCATCTATCGGGGATCGATTTATCGTGTCTAGTGTAGACGTGATAAATCGATCCCCGATCACTCTGCCATCGACTCCGGAACTCCACCACAGCGAGAGGCGGAAGCAGAGTCGACGGCGGAGCGGCGGTCATCGATCCCGCGCCGCGAGGACGCGAAGTAAGTGATTCTGTCAATCTAAGATACGTCGACTTCAGCTATACTATTCTTGCAACTGAAGTTGAGTATCTTAGATCGATCCCTCCCTCCCCAGTGTAGACCAAGCCTCAGAGTCCAGGCTCCAGCCTGAGCCTGAACATCACTGCTATTTTTAGTCCCACACTGCGAGCCCAAGTCAGTTGACCCAGACTCTGAGACTCGCTCATGGTGTGTGGTTCTTGGGGGGGTTGGGAGAGGAGGGATATTTTTTCTTTTGTGTAGGTGAACCCTTAGAGAACTGTATCTTGCTATTCAATATTAAAAATGTAACAGAAAAGTGGATATTGTGAGTATACAGTATGCCTTTTATATATATATATATATATATAATCTGTATTTTCAACTAAAACGTCTTCAGGCAGGACAATGACACCTGTCTATACCAAGGAATAGGTCCATAGTAAGGATGAAGTTTAAAAAGAAGTCACTTGAGTTTAACTCTTCCATGACTTTGAACAAAACTAAACTCACAAATGTGTGAAAGAGTGCCTTTACTGATGAAAGCCTTATTGGAAATTAAAATACAAAACAAAAAAAAGCCATACATACAAGTCAAACAAAGGTTTACCATATTTCCACCACACCAACCTTGCACATAAAGTCATATCTGGGATGGAATAAATGAATGAGGGTTTAGCTCAATGGATATTTTTTCATAAAGTTTTAAAGCACCTGAAAAATTAGGATTAGTAGGAATTTCTTCCTGAACAACATTATAAGGGAGCATTGCACAACTTTAAACTAGCATGTTTCCTAATTGAGCAGGGACGTAACATTGAAACAACGTTAAGTGGGACAACATTAAATGGGGAGTTACTGTAAAATATACTGACAAGTTTCTTTCTTAAATCTAGATGTTAGTATGGGCCCAGATTTTCAGACCTGTGCACACACAAAATTCCACAAAATATGGGCCATGGTGCAAAGAACACAGAGCAGAACTAGAAGAAGCTTGATTTTGGCTTTTGATTCAATTTCAAAATACTTTTAATAAGTTCACCTGAATTAATAAGTCACATCCCAATACATGAAGCAGATAATGGGCTCACTAAACCAAAGACATGGGGTAGTACATTTGAAGCAAAATTATCACATTGAGTAATATAAATATTTTTTATAGTAACTAGCGGAAAAATAATATCCACTATTCATTCTTGATTTCTGATATTCCATGACTGGGACTCAAACAGCTGTTCATAATGTGTTGGGAAAACACAGATTTTCTGAACCATTAATATAGAATGCCACATAGTGGTTAGACATGACAAGGTTATTTATGATGGTGATTTGTAGCTGTGTCGGTCCCAGGATATATGAGAGTGAGAGTGAGAGAGAGAGAGAAAGTGGGTGAGATAATATCTTTTGTTGGATCAACTTGTGTTGGTGAAAGGGACAAGCTTTTGAGATTCTCTGTGGAGCTCAAAAACTCATCTCTTTCAGCAACAGAAGCTAGTCTAATAAAAGATATTACCTCACCCACCTTGTCTCTGTCAAAGTTATGTACAGTTCTGCACAGCTTTATGGATTCTGGGTAAAAGAAAACACCACACTAATTTCTATAAATTTCTCTGCACCAGTTTAAGAGTTTCAAGTTTCCTCTCCTCAGCTGGTAGGTTGAGAAAGAATAAGAGAGGTTCTTTTACTAATGATCTGATCCTTTTGGGATTTAAATTGAGACAGTGTTGATTTGAAGTCTAATGATTATTTTTGTTTTGTTGTTTATAATAATCATCTTCCCTACCTCTTGGCTTAATTCCACATGCAGCAAATGTCTCCAGGATGAAAGCTATCTTGAGAACAAACAGGCTAACTGTGAAGAGACTCATTTTGTGGTAACTATTCTTCCAGCAAACAGGTAGGAAGCAGAACTCTCCAGAGACTAATGAATTATTATTTTCAGATTTGCTTGAAGGAAAGGGCAGGGGACAGAGGTTTACTAGACAACTACACAAGCCCTTCCCCTCCCACCTACCCCCCCCCCCCCCCCGCCAGATGTGCGAAAGCAGGTTCCACAGAGCTTCTAGCCACTGTGAACATGGAAGAGAAGCCCCAGCCCAATGGTGCACTGTGCTATCACTGGACCATCAGCCCAACCTACATGTAGACTATTGCTAGTGTAAATACTTTGTACACTGATCTTAATTTGCATGTTTTTTTCCCAGCATTTTTTTTTTTTACAATCACCCACAGCTTTAGATGGACACAATTTTAAAATAAGTAATATGTACTTTATGGAACACTGCAGACAATCAAAAACAGAAAGAAAAGACATACGCCTCAGCTAAGACTGACATCCTAAGATTCCCAAACACTTTGAATATGTTAACTTTGACTACCTATTCCTTGAACAAATCAGAGGTTTCATCAACCAGCGACTTCACAAGAAATTTTCATCAGTGTATGATTATAGGCTTGAAAAAAAAAAATTCGGAAAGGTCCACTGATGTATAAGAATCCCTGAACTCCTTTTCCCTCTGGGAATAGAAACAAAGCATCTTGACAGAATAAGACTAGGCAAGCACATTGTTATTAGCTATTCCTATACCTCAGGGGTAGGCAACCTATGGCACGTGTGCCAAAGGCGGCACGCGAGCTGATTTTTAGTGGCACTCACACTGCCCGGGGCTTGGTCACCAGTCCGGGGACTCTGCATTTTAATTTAATTTTAAATGAAGCTTCTTAAACATTTTAAAAACCTTATTTACTTTACATACAACAATAGTTTAGTTATATATTATAGACTTCTAGAAAGAGACCTTCTAAAAACGTTAAAATGTCTTACTGGCACGCGAAACCTTAAATTAGAGTGAATAAATGAAGACTCGGCACACCACTTCTGAAAGGTTGCCAACCCCTGCTATACCTCATTCTAGTTAGTTTTTTCTGAACCTGCAGATATCAAAATTAACAGCCAAAACCAGTTTACAAAGCTCACTATGAAGATGCATTACAGTTCTGAGTTCTTACCTCCTCACAACCTATCAGCTTCCAGGACTCTTCAGACCCTTGAAGTGCTTATATTTAGTTAGTAGTGTCTTCTCTGACAGCCCGCAGAACAGTGGAGATTCCCAATAGAAGGGAAAAGGTAGTAGCTGCACCGCAGATAAGCTCCCCTTTAAAAAAATACATTTAAAAATATCATTTTTAACAGAAAAATAATGAATAAACACAAATTTTTAATACATTAATTTGATTCTCAATCGACTCACTCCCATAGCTGCCTTCCCTTTTCATCTTACCTTTCATCCCTTGCTCCTTCCCCAATGGCTGAGCAGTGGGGAGCGAAGGAAGTCAGCTCCTTCCACTAATTAGTGGACTATCATAATTCATGGATATGACATCACACCCCATTAAGAAAGATTTTATTCTTGAATAGGTGTTCAAAGGCTATTACAAATACACCTCTACCTCGATAGAACGCTGTCCTCGGGAGCCAAAAAATCTTACCGTGTTATAGGTAAAACCGCGTTATATTGAACTTGCTTAGATCCACCGGAGTGCGCAGCACTGCCCTCCCAGAGCACTGCTTTACCGCGTTATATCCGAATTCGTGTTATATCAGGTCGCGTTATATCGAGGTAGCGGTGTAGCTTAAAACACACCATCAAAGATACAAAGTATAGGTGCCATTTCATTCAAGATATGGGAGCCAAAACCATTCCTTTTATAGCTTCCCCTATCCCACAAGAGGAAGAGTGGTCTAGGAGACTGAGGACAAGCACTGGAAACCAAGAACTAGCAAATTGTAATCCTGGCTGTACACCAAATCATTTAACCTCTGTATACCCGTTTTACCAAATTTGGATAATGCTTCCTTTTCTCCCTCCCTTACCTGTTAAGGATTCATGTTTGTACAGCACTTTGATGACAGAGAATGCTATGCAAGTGCCAAGTATTATTCTTAGTATTAGTCATACATGACCTACCCTCAACATTAATTAATATACTCCTGTCTACAAAACAAGATCAAATTATTTTATCCACCTCACAAACAAGCAATTCCCGATTCAGAAACCGCCTCTAGTCAGAAAGAAACTCACCAGTGTTCTTAAAGGACTACTTCCTTTTCACTTCTGTAAGACGTCTAAAACCAACACCCAAATAGGAAGGATAAAGTGTGCATATATACCAAAAAATTGTGGAGACAGTTACTGTCACAGGGGGGAATTGGGGAGGGGGGGGGGAGAAACCTTTCAGTTCATTTAATACTCCAAATTTAGAGCCAGAATCTGACTTTACTCACATTGAGTAATACCCTATTTCACAAGGTAGTCCCATTGCAATGGGAAAAGATTAGGAACAATGGGATCGCTTCTGGAGTAAAGTGGTATTCAGCTGGCACTGCAAAACAAGATGTGGGAAAGGAAGAGTTCAGGGACCTTGAAGAGAATCGTGCACTTAACGTACACTCGGAATGGAGCCTTAAATTTTGCCAAGTTTACATACGATTTTAAGTATGGTAACCTTATTATAAGCTTGATCCAATTCCCATTGACATTTACTGCAATGAGATGGATTGGGTCTTATCTGCAGTATTCTCTAATGTTAGATAGTTAACTGAAAATGCTTAGTTAAGGCATGTGGCAAGATTTACAGGCCACATAATGACTTGAAAACACAGAACTACATTCTCTGAAGACACAGTTTAGCCTGTATAACCTTTATTAATAACAATAATCTACATGGAAAGAACCCAGTCAAACTCTCAGATCCAAGACTGAATATACACAACTGGTAGTTCTAAGAGCCATCTTATTACTTGTTAATTAAGCATATTTAATATAGAAGTCGTTGTGAGGATCAAAGATGAACCTCACAATGTCTTTATTACAGAGTAACTTTTCAGAGCAGAACTGCTCTTTACATACAGTATTACGACAATCAATGTTTAGGTCAGAGTCAGCTAACTACTTTTGTAGCTCTTTATTATCCTATGAACAAGTTAGTGCAGAGAACTGGGCGTAGCCAAGAGGACAAGTAGTAACCACAAATACATTGATAAATGCAAAGTAATGCACATGGGAAAACATAATCCCAACTATACATATAAAATGATGGGGTCTAAATTAGCTGTTACCGCTCAAGAAAGATCTTGGAGTCATTGTGGATAGTTCTCTGAAAACATCCACTCAATGTGCAGTGGCAGTCAAAAAAGCTAATAGAATGGTGGGAATCATTAAGGGAGAGAAAATATAAAAATCCATGGTACGCCCACATCTTGAATACTGCGTGTAGATGTGGTTGCCCCATTTCAAAAAATATATATTGGAATTGGAAAAGGTTCAGAAAAGGGCAACAAAAATTATTAAAGGTATGGAACAGCTTTTGTATGAGGAGAGATTAATAAGACTGGGACTTTTCAGCTTGGAAAAGAGATGACTAAGGGGGGACATGATAGAGGTCTATAAAATCATGACAGGTGTGGAGAAAGTAAATAAAGAAGAGTTATTTACTCCTTCTCATAACACAAGAACTAGGGGTCGCCAAATGAAATTAATAGGCAGCAGGTTTAAAAACAAACAAAAGGAAGTATTTCTTCACACAACACACAGTCAACCTGTGGAACTCCTTGCCAGGGGATGTTGTGAAGATTAAGACTGTAACAGGGTTCAAAAAAGAACCAGTTAAGTTCATGGATGATAGATCCATCAATGGCTGTTAGTTAGGATGTGCAGGGATGGTGTCCCTAGCCTCTGTTTGCCAGAATGGGAATGGATGACAGCGGATGGATCACTTGATTACTTGTTCTGTTCGTTCCCTCTGAAGCACCTAGCACTGGCCACTGTCGGAAGACAGTATATTGGGCTAGATGGACTTTTGGTCTGACCCAGTATGGCTGTTCTTATATGCAAAGCATCTGTTTAAGTGCTTAAGTATGGCAATACCACACTACTGCAAAATAAGAAACGAATACAATGAGAAATGCCAGCAGTATAATACCATTTTAAATTCTTACAATAAGTCTAGTCAGCAAACTGAAACAGATTCAAAAACACAACAAGAATTACTTCTCGATCACCCATTGGTATTTTAGTGCGGGGGGGGGGGGAGGGAGAGGTGTTTGATTGTTTTTGATTAAGTAACAAAGCATGCATAACTGAGGATTTATTCCTTTTATTCATTTTTTTTTACATCAAACCACTGGGATTTTCTCATTTTTGGTTTGGCCAGACCAATCCGATCTATAAATATACTCCTGGGTTGAAAGCCAACACTCTGTAGATAGTATTCTTCATAAACCTCACACAAGTAGGGACTGCATTTGCAATTTTAAAGTTTGCTTCAGCACCATGCAAACTGAGCAACCCCCAAAGTAAGACAGGGCTTTTACTATGCTTTGACATCTGCTTTTACTACTCCTATTTTAAAGACTGCATTCAATATTTTAACAACAATTCAAATTATATCACTACTCCAACCAACCATTTGGTACGTTTTGTTACCAAGATCTAACCTCAAAGTTTGAATGTTATCCCAACAAACAAGAAAAGTAATCCTGTCCTCCAAGTGTCTCTGGACAGATTTCAAGCCTCTCTTATCCAACAGGGAAACTACTTAGTACCCTCAATTTGGGAAATGGAGCATGTTAAATGATGTCAAAGAACAGCAGATGGGGAGAGACCAGCATTAAACGTTGATTATTTCTGTGCCAAGATGGTCCAGGGTGGATCAGAAGTAACACTGCATATTACACAAAAAATAGGCAGATCAATACTCTGTACTTAGTTCAGCTCCTTCTTAAAGCATGGCATTTCTTCTTCAAAGGGGATCTAATAAATCTGCTTAGGCCCCAACTTTACTCTTTCATTTTTCCCTTTAAAAAGTGAGAGAACTCTACACTATTTGGGTCCTCTAGAAAAGAGGGGCAAAAGAGCATATATTTTTATTTCCATAAGTTGATCAACAGGTGCTTAGTGTTGTATTCCTCTTTAGTAGTGATACGTATATACAAACTAAGGCAAGATTGCACATTACATCTTCGTGAAGAGTTACATAGTTGAGCTACAGAAACATTCAATTCAAGGCAAAGAGAACTCATTACTGTACCAGCAAATGCCATTCTTAACCTTTAGGAATGAGAGTTTAGACACAACTTTGACAGATGCTGGATATCATGTACAGTTAGAATGACCCACAGCAGTTTATTGCCACCAACACTGACTGGCCTATCACCTATATCCATCATTCCCAAGTTAACAGCAGCATATTATGGTGGAGTGGGGAAAAAAAAAAGCTACACTGGAAAGGAGGTTAGTCTTTTCAAAACTGCGGACTGTCAGTTGAACAGGGTGAACTAGCGAGGACAGAATGAACATGTACTAAAGTAAGTGAAAGCATTCGGGAACTATTTGCTTTCCACAAGATAGTTAATGCTAATTTACGTAAAGGGAAAAAACAACATTTATTTAAACTGCCTTACCGTAAATAGAGAGTGGGGGGGGAAAAGTCTGACTGTTTCCTTGTGTACCCCGCCCCCCGCCCCATCAGTATCCATCTGTTCCTTTTCTTATACTTAGATTCTAAGCTCTTCTGGGCAGGGATTGTCTTTTTGTTCTGTGTTTGTACATACAACAGGTTCTTGGTCCATCACTGGGGCTCCTAGCCACTATGATTATGCAAATAATAAATAATACTTATTGGAGATATGTATTAAACAGTTCATTATGCAGTTGAATTATACCTTTGCATTCAATAACTGTGTACTCCAATGATGTTGGGGAAGCAGATGCAGATCTGTCACAAAGTGCCTAATTACTTTCCCTCATGGCCTCCTTGTAGAGCAAAGTGATAGGTTGGCCTGCATTCTGCCTTCATTCCCCCTTCCATCTGATATATCAGATTAATTCTAGTATTTATTACTGTATAAATACTGCTTGGTCACAATAGGATCATCTGTCCTCTCCGATAATAAATCCTTGCTTGCAAGATCACATGGAGAAACCCTGGAGCATTAGAACAAAACAAAAAAGCAGCATAAAACACTGTAGGTATTGAGAGGAGCAGAATGCAGTAAATAGAAGACAGCCAAAAAGGATTTTGAGAAACTTTTTGAAAATGTACATGGCTTTAAGTAGGTTCTTTTTCAGAACATAATACCAGTTGAAGGTTCATAAGCCATGCACATAAACTTCATCGTACGTATGCATCTACTTTTAAGGGTAGCACCCAAACTGTGAGAAAGAACCATATTCTCCAAACATGATCAGAGTTAAGTGTTGTTAACAGTAGCCTAGGCTGAGCTGCCAGAAGTGTTAAACAGCTTCCCATCAAAAAACATAAACCAATAGTTAAGGTAATATGCCATTGCTCATCCAGCTATAACACAAAGTTGATAGAGCAATGCTTTTGCAGCTGTATGAAGAGAAATGTAGATAAGTGTTGTAGGAGATCAAGTTGGGAGACCAAGTCTGTCTCAATCTTTCCAAGGTGGCAGAGGGACAGATCCGTTAGTTCAAATTCAGACACACACATCAAGTCACTTGATCAGCTACCAAACTCCTCAGAAGTACTCCAAAGTTGTTCTAAGAATATCAATATACTAACATAACACTGGAACATTAGAGCTGAAGGTGATCAAGTGAAGTATACCTCAGGATCCTCACATCATACTGAATAGCTGTAAAAGGTTACTTAATACTGTAAGTAGGCGCTGGTATTTTCTTTCCTCTGGCACTAGTGATAAAGCAAGACTAGATTTTGGTCCAAATAGAAGCAACAGAAGGGGAATTTTAGCCAGTTCTCACCCAGATATGCCAAAATAATTTTTCAAAGCTTGATCAGCTTAAGCAAGAGTAGGATATTTCGGTTAAGCAGAAACACAGCCTTTATTACGCAAAATATTGTCAGTATTCAGATTTTATATGTTGGAAATCTGGAGCCTTAGAACCCAGAAACTTAAAGCGTACTAACTTAGAACAAAAACAAGGAAATAAAACTATATTCTTCCACTAGTATTACTTACACGTTTATCAACTAAAAGGAAAAACTGGAAAACAAAAACAAAACAAAAAACAAACACTAGTTTGTAAGAGAGGGACACCATCAAGACAATCAGTTAAAAAAAAGAAATATTTTCAGATATTATGCCTGTTCCCAAGTTTTTGTGGGACTTTATCTTTTTAAAATATTTTCTTCCTGTTTATATAGGTCTTTCATAAATAGAATGACTATACAGAGACAATAGTACACACAAATGTAGAAGTAGTGTCAAATGCACAGAGAAAAAACAGGAAAAACACTTCAGAAACACTGTCTCTAATCTTTCATTTATAGGATTCCTGTGTGTTACTCATAAGAATAATAGGTAAATGATTTTTAAATTGACATTTCTTTCTGAAAGATAGTGTCCCTTAGCAGTGACATTGAACTTGAACTTTTAAAAAGAAATTAAAGCAAATTTTAAGTAATATAGCCTGAATTTTATTTTTCTTTAGAAGTTTTGTCAGGAATTTTTATGTTTACAATCATCTTTCCAGCAAAGAAAAAAATGACAAAGGTACCAGTCTGGCAAATATTTACACATGCTTAACTTTAAGAATACAAGTAGTCTGATTAAGAAGACTGATGCTACTCAGGTACTTAAAGATAAATATATGTGTGATTTTAGGATCAGGGCCTACAGGATTATATGGAGGAAAGAATGAAACTGGCTGAACCACAACTGCTGTCAAGTGCACAAAGTAAAATTGACTAAAAGGGAAAAATATTGTGATAGAGGGTCTAGAGTCTATCCATAATTTATATTTCATGGCAAAGGAAAATTGAAACAAAATGTTTAAGAAAAAGAACTGGATAAACTGGATGCAGCCAGACACAAGGATCTGTGGAAAGCTGTACTAGAGTTCAGTAACGAAGCATTTTAAAGGCAAGTAGTAATCATCTGAAGAGGGCTATCTTCTCCCCAGTAGGCCATTTCCTGAAGGGTGGGGGAGCAGCTGCATTCCCAAACTTCTACTGTGTGATACAGATCTGGAAAAAAAACTAGTTAAGAAAATGGGGTGTGCTGGATCAACAGGAAATAATAAGTAGGTTCAAGACTAACACTAGAGATCATTCTGGACACAGCAGCAAGAAGCTGTAACTCTGACTGGAGTGTGGGGAGGAGTGCATGAGATGAGACCTGCTTTTTAGGCATGTAGATTCTTTTCTTCTCTGTAACGAAGCTAAGAGAAGCCTGTTTGGGCATTTGCAAAGTTTTTACCTAACATATTTCATTCTTCTTAACCTGTTATTGTTCTTAACCTCTGAGGCTAGAACAAGAAGCAATGGGCTTAAATTGCAGCAAGGGCGGTTTAGGTTGGACATTAGGAAAAACTTCCTAACTGTCAGAGTGGTTAAGCACTGGAATAAATTGCCTCGGTAGGTTGTGGAATCTCCATCATTGGGGATTTTTAAGAGCAGGTTGGACAAACACCTGTCAGGGATGGTCTAGATAATACTTAGTCCTGCCTTGAGTGCAGGGAACTGGACTAGATGACCTCTCAAGGTCCCTTTCAGTGCTATGATTCTATGAACTATTTATTTGTATCTGATTCTCTATATTTAATATATCTTGTTTTATGGGTGTGTGTATCATGCAGTACCTCTGGAGAGAGTGAAAGCCTTCTCTTTAAGGAGAAATACAAAAAGTGTTTCCGGAACCTATAGGTAGTGATGTCCTCTCCCAGTGAGGTGTTCGGCAAAGGACTACCATGGAGATACATAGGAGGAGAAGCCTAAAGATCCAAGGAGACATGAGAAGGCCAAAATGTGCACAACATGTTTCCTTATCAACTTTTTTAATTAGGGTAATTTTATACTGTCCCTTTTGGATGTAAGAGTTGGCAGGTCCATCAGAATTCTGAAATGGTTGCATGGCTCTCCATGGCAACCCCAAGATACATGATCTATGCATCTTTGGGGGCTAGAAGCTAACAAACAAACAGTCAGGAGCTAGAAACCTCTAAGAATACGAGGGCTGCAACTTGAAGGTGGGAGTCCAAGTTTGGCTTTACATTGCCAAAGTGGTAAAGAAGAGTAAAGAAAAAACAAGGATTCCCAAGTACCTGTATCTCCTTTTTAAGAGGCGAGGGACTAGGTCAGAGACATCTGCTACAACCTGAACTAGTATAAGCTGCCATTTCTATTTATTAAAATGTTTATGGACTTTGCTCCTTATGTAGTTTTTAAATTTGTTTCATATAGTTCCCTTCTCTGTAGTTTTATGATGTATTTAATAACAATCTTGGTTGTTTCATTTCTCCCCTGATCTAATGACTATCTGTCATTCAAACAACCAGCAAGAGTAAGGACTGAAGATGCTTAATGTGATGTCATCATGTTATTGTCTCACACTGGAGAAATCAAGAAATTAATCCCTCAAAGATTATTTTTTAAAAAGGGTTGGTTTGGTGACAGCAAATGACTATTTTCCCTCCCAAGCAATGAAACTACAATAAGCCCTTGCTGTGTTTGTTTTGGGGTCTATAAGAAATTGATTGCTGCTATAGTTCTGTAAAACAGAATATAATATTAAACAACTGCACAAAACACTGAAAGCACTTTAAAAACAACTGCACTATGCTCTGGATTTGGGAATTAAACACTATCATTTTTTCACATTTATTGTAAGTCAGACACAGCCAACAAACAAGACATTTCATGGGTTAAATTATTCAAACAAGTGACACTGCATCATTTTAAAGCCCCAAATTGCTTTGCCTTGACACTTTATCTCTTTGCACTACAGAGAACTCCTCATCAGCCACTAGAGCAGTGTTTGATTCCATGTTGCGATTGGGAAAGGACTGATGCAAAACTGCAAGGTTGGTGCAGCGAGGTTAACTGCAATTATTTCTTTGGGAGCAACGACCCAGCATGCTTCTCTCAGCGAGGGAAGAAGCATCATCAGCTCGCTGGGCTTAGAGAAAACCCACAAGGGAACAGTAGCCCCCATGAGCACAACCCCCGGTACGAACATCAGTATATTGGGGGGCCATACATCACAAGAAACAATTCATCACCTTTCCCTGATCGACCCCCTCAGGTCAGCATCCCCCCTCCAGCCAGCCTCCACCCTCAATAATTGACCCCCCCACGGGTCAACCCCCACAGCTGCCCTCGCCTTCAGCGAGTTACCCTCAGTCACCCACCGCGCCTCCAGCCCCCCCAATATTGCTGCCTCCTCAGTCGATATAGTCCTACCCTCTACGCGACACCACCACATTGCCCCAGCAACGTCCCCGGCCTGCCCCCTCCCTCACCATACGGCCGCTCTGCCGAGTGCGGCCCCACTCTCCCGCCTGCCTCGGGCCGGACCTCACCTCAGCACCGGGGCCGCCTGCAGCCGCCGGCCTCCTTCTGGTCCGATCGCTCGCCTCGCAGCACCTCCCTCCCCCCAGCGGACTCCGCACCCCCCGCCCACTTCGCTGATGGACCAACTCTAGAGCGCCCGCCGCCGCAGCGCGAGAAGGGAGGGGAGAGCCCGACGCTGCCAACAAACGCTGCCCCGCCCCTCGCGCACCCCACACTTCGAACCCGCCAATAGCCGGCGCCCTGCTCGTTGCAGCTATTACACCAATATCGTCTCCCTCCCCCTGTGACAGGGAAACCCAACGGCTCTTCCCACCTCCGCCACTGGCACATTCTGCGCGTGCGTCGAGGGTTCCCTCACAGTTCTCTCTCACGCCCAGCGGAGCCCTGCATCATTCACGTTAGCCAATGGGAGGCTGGGGTTCGAGTGGGGCAGTGTGATCCTGTTCTAGGACGGGAGGTCACGTGGGGATCAGGGTCAGTGTGCGGTGGGGAGGGGAAGACGTCTCGGGTGGGGCAGCCAGGGATGGGTGCGGGAGCTAGGAGGCAAGCGGGAGGGGTTGGAGTCGGGAGCCTCCCTCAGTGGGGGAGGAAGGGCTGAGTGGAAGACCCCGTTCCTGAGTGGATTTGGGAGGAATGGTCCCGCTCCACGCTCTAGCCATGGGTGGGGTTAGGAGCTTGCCGGGGGGGGGTCATTTAGTCCCCATGTCTCTCCCTCTGGGGAGGGAGATATGCTGCACTGCTGTAGCCTTCAGTGTAGCAGCTACCTATGCTAACAGTAGGGTTACCATACGTC